CTCTGAAGAAATATGAATAAAATTGTGTTCTTTTTTCCTCTCTAAAAAAAAACTTAGACGAAAATTTCAAAGTGTGCAGAAGTGTCTCCACGAGGACGACGAAGCCTATTTATAGGCGAGAGCCAATGGTTGAGATTAGCTATCTCAACCGAAGCAATGGCTAAGATCGAACAAAACGGTTCATATATGACTATTCAAAATGAACGGTCGAGGTTTATTCTCGGATCCGACGGTTCAGATCTAATTTTCAAATGTCAAAATGCTTCAAATTCAAATGAGCAGCTGAGATTTAAGCGGTTAAGCTGAACAACTGAGATTAATCTCGAAATAACGGTTGACATTCAAGGTCCAACCGAAGCAATAGATCAGATTGAGCGCGTGAAAACAAGGACGCCCTGTCAGATCCCATTTAATGCGATCTGAAATGCCATCACCATCTTAACTAGCAGACGTCAGGCCTGGCCTGGATGCACGTGGCTCGCCTGCTATTGTTTGGACCCCACTTGCAAGCATATAGCTCGCATGCCATTGGTTAGAGCTCGCCTACAAACTTGAGTTCTTCTATGATGCTATGTTCGTTTACACACTCAGCTTGCCAGACTTAATTGAGCTTGCCTGAAGAACCCAGAATTAAACAAAGGGGAGAATCCAGATTAATTCTTCTCTCTATTGTAATCAGAAAATCCAATTATAATTAAGGTCAAAGGAATACAAATTAAACTTTTCTTTCATTTCTTTTACTACAAATTTTCCACCAAACAAAAGATGGTGACTCCGCTGGGGATGATCTCTGATGAAGAAGTGGTGGCGTAATTCGATGTTCATCTCATTGGAACAACCGTCAAAACTCTCATGGTAGAGTTTGATCAAGCCAAGTTTGAGGAGGCTATCTCCTCCGGATCACTTAGCCCCAAGGCTATGCGTAAGATCCACAAAGTTTCTAAGGAGACTAAAGCTCCAGTTGTGGCCGACTCATCAAAGGGTTGTCTCCCCTGGGGGTTACACTGTTCCTACAGTCCCCTCTCTGAAGGAGAAGACTTAGCTTCGGCACAACTCCAAGAAAGTCGATCCCCCAAAAAATGCGAGCTTCGCTTTCGTGAGCCTAAACGCGACCCTGAGCTTCTTGTTTCTACTTTAGAATGCAAGCCTCGTGTTTATGAGCCCAAACATGAGCTTCGCGAGAACCAGACTGAACGTGGCCATCAATGGCGTGTTTTACAGCCAAAACGCGGATCTCAAGCCTTCGTTGAACGTGAACTTCAACTTCACGTTTCCCAGTCAAAACACGACCCTCACATCGACAATGAAGAACGCGACCCTCATGTTTCCATACCAAAATGCGGACCTCGCGTTTCAAGTGCCAAACGGGACCTTCA